CTCGTGGCAATTCCTTCCTATTCGTGTGCGACGGCGAAGGCATATTTCGACGCCATTCAAGAACAGAAGCTGTTGCAGTTCTTGATGGGTCTCAACGAGACTTTCAATCAAGCACGAAGCCAGATCTTACTGATGTCTCCTCTACCGTCTGTGAATGAGGCATACGCAATGATAGTCCAGGATGAAACTCAGCGGTCCATCTCATATGCAGACAGACACATCCCCACTGAAGGATTGGCAATGGCCGTAAGAGGAAGGGGACGTGGTCGAGGAAGAGGCAGAGGAGACACTCCACCCGAATGCTCTCACTGCCATAAGAAGGGGCACGTTCGGGAGAATTGTTTCTAGATTGTCGGGTATCCAGCCAATTTCAGAGGAAATAAAGGGAGACAGCAGAGGGAATTTCAGCAAGGGGGAGCTGATTCTGTCAAAGACCCTGACCCTCAAGGCCACGCTGTCACAACAGTAGCTCCGACCTTCACTAAGGAGCAATACGAAAGAATCTTGGAGATGTTGAAGAAAGATGTGGAGCCTACGGTACACGCTTTAACGGGTACAAGTTTGATCAATCCTATACCAAATTTTAAAACTTACACACACTAGATTTTAGATTCTGGGGCAACTACTCACATGGCTAGTAAATTAGACTTGTTTGATGATTATAAGCAGTATAATGGACCGATTAAGACAATTAAAATACCGAATGGAGATAGATTACCTGTCACTCATGTTGGTTCTGTTACTATTGCTGAAAATGTTATTATGCATGATGTTCTGTATGCACCGCGTCTTGAGTTTAACCTGATATCCATATCTAGATTTACAAAGGAACACAATTGCATGGAAGCCTTCTTTCCTGATCTCTGTGTACTGCAGGGCCTTCAGGATGGGAGGATGAAGATGATTGGTAAAGAGTATAAAGGGCTTTATGTGCTAAAAGTGACAGATACCCCTGTTTTGGCAAATACTGTTCAGAATCAGAGACCTTTTAGAAAGGAATGTGATGTCGAATTATGGCATAAAAGACTAGGACATGCCCCCATATCTGTAATAAGACACATTGATCAAATTTGTACTGAAAATTCTGTTTTGAATAAAACTTCAAATTCTTGTGATATTTGCATTCAGTCCAAGCAGACTAAGTTCCCTTTCAATTCTAGTGTCATTAAATCTCAGAAAAGCTTTGATTTGATTCATGCGAATGTTTGGGGACCCTATAGGAACCCCACGCATCAAGGTTTTCAGTTTTTCTTGACTTTAGTAGATGACTTTTCTAGAGGAACTTGGATTTTTTTGATGAGACATAAGAATGAGACTGAAATTCATATCAAGAACTTCATTGCTTATGTTTCAACACAGTTCTCTGTGAATGTAAAAAGGATTAGAAGTGATAATGGAACTGAGTTTACTAATAATCAATTGAAAGTTTATTTTCAACAGAGAGGCATAATTCATCAGACATCATGTCCCTATACACCAGAGCAAAATGGGGTAGTAGAAAGAAAACATAGAACCATTATGCAGATCACTAGAAGTCTTATCTTACAGTCAGGAATACCCATTAAGTATTGGGGGGAGTGTGTTAAAATGGCGACATATTTGGTGAATAGGATTCCCTCAAAGGTTATAGACTACCAAACACCTTACGAAAGGATTTATGGAGTCAAACCAGACCTAAGTAATTTGAAGATTTTTGGGTCACTTGCTTATGCCACTGATTTAAAGGTCAGTGATAAACTACAGTCTAGATCAATCCCTAGTCTTTTCCTAGGGTACCCAGATAATCAAAAGCGATTTTTGCTCCTAGATCTAAAGCAAAGTACCATTTTTGTCAGCAGACATGTACACTTTATAGAAGATAAGTTTCCCTTCAGGGATGTTAGAAACAACTTTCAAGATACATTAAGAGATGGTGTGAGATCAATGTTTTGGTTTGAATCAGAAAATTCTGGAAATCAAACTTCTGGAACCATTGCAGAACCAGAATCAGCTAATAATAATGGTGAAAATCCTACGTATAACAGGACAAACAATGGAGGAGATGATGAATGTGATAACCGTAGAAACCAAACCAGTGTTGAGAGTCAAAGACCTGTTCGTACTAGAAGACCCCCTATTTGGGCAAATGATTATGTATGTTCCTTGTTGCAATTTGACTCTGATTATTCTTTGAAGCCTAATTGTAAATATCCTATTGATGATTATCTTTCCTATGCACACATGTCAGTTGATCATATGTGTTTTCTGACTTCTATTGACTCTAATTATGAACCATCCTGTTATGAAGAGGTTGTTCAAAGTGAAAACTGGGTAAAAGCCATGGAAACTGAAATGAAAGCTTTAGAAAGTAACAAAACCTGGACCATAGTACCTTTACCTAAGGGTAAGAAGGCTATTGGTTGCAAATGGGTTTATAAAATTAAATATAATGCAGATGGTAGTATAGAAAAGTATAAGGCTAGATTAGTAGCCAAGGGCTTTAATCAAAAGGAGGGTATTGATTATCATGAGACTTTTTCTCCTGTTGTGAAAATGTTTACAGTTAGAGTAGTCTTAAAATTAGCTGCTGTTAACAAATGGAATCTTTATCAAATGGATGTTCATAATGCATTTTTACAAGGTGATTTAGATGAGGAAGTTTATATGAAAATACCTCAAGGTTTTGAGAGACAGGGGGAGCAAATGGTTTGCAAATTGAATAAATCCCTTTATGGTTTGAAGCAGGCTTCAAGACAATGGAATCAAAAATTGTCTGAAGCACTGCAGAGAGGAGGATTTACACAAAGTAAAGCTTATTATTCTCTTTTTATTAAACATTTTGAGCAAGGGGTTGTTTTTATTTTGGTATATGTTGATGATTTGCTGATCACAGGAAGCACTGAGTCTGGAATTGCTGAAACTAAAGAATTCTTGCGCAATCATTTTAAAATTAAGGACCTAGGACTAATGAAATATTTTCTTGGGATTGAAGTAGCTAAGGCTAAGAAAGGAATTGTTTTGTCACAAAGAAAATATGTTTTGGATCTATTGTTCGAAACTGGCATGACAGGTTGCAAGCCAATAGGGGTTCCAATGGTTCAAAATTTGAAGTTACTCGCTTATGATGAGAAGAGGAACCGTGCAGAAGACCTATTGAAAGAACCAGCAAAATACAGAAGGTTGATAGGTAAGTTGATATATTTGACAATGACCCGGCCTGATATCTCTTATTCTGTGCAGACCTTGAGCCAGTTCATGCAGATGCCAACCAAAGCTCATATGGCAGCAGCTAGAAATGTCTTGCGGTATTTGAAAGCCACACCTGGTTTGGGATTCTTCATTAGCTCAGAAGGGAAACCAGTTTTGGAATGCTATTGCGATTCAGACTGGGCGTCTTGTGCTATGACAAGGAGATCTGTATCTGGATATTTGTTAAAGCTGGGAGGATCTCTTGTGATGTGGAAAACTAAGAAGCAACATACTGTCTCAAAGTCGTCCGCAGAGGCAGAATATAGAGCTTTAAGCATGGCAACTTCTGAGGTGGTATGGGCTGTTAGCTTATTGAAAGATTTGGGAATAGACACAAGGAACCTGTGAAAGTTTATTGTGACAGCAAGGCTGCAATTCATATTGCAGCCAACCCAGTCTTTCATGAACGCACAAAACATATAGAAATAGATTGTCATTTCATTAGAGAGAAATGGGAGTCCAAGCTGATTGATCTGGAGCATGTTAGAAGCCACAGCCAAGAAGCAGATCTGCTGACAAAACCTGTTGAGCAAGTTAGGAGCTATAGATATTTTCAAGCCCCTAACTTGAGGGGGAGTGTTGGAAATATTTGAATGAATTTATTTGTAATTGTTGGGTGCTTGTTGTATTTCGTTTCTGTAAGCCCATCAGTGGCCCATTCTTGTGAGCCCTTTAGTTTAGGGTTATAGAGCTGCGCATTGTATATAAATATTGGGTCCGTTGTTAGCCCAAGTGTGTATTCTTTATCAGTTGTGATTCAATAAAATAATTCTTTCAAGTCCAAAGTCGTGTGTTTTAGGGATTCTTGGAGCAGGTCAGTGGTCAACACTGGTAATACGAGTAAGAGGGAGTATTGATAAATAATAATAATATAGTGGAAGTCAAGCCACCAGAAACTGCTGAAGCGGAGGAGAAGGTAGAGACTAATGATATTCGGATTTTTTTTGGTTGGCTTTGACTAATTATTCAGATTTGAATTTCTCAATTGAGCTCTCTCAATTAAGGGTAAGTGGGGGATATTAGAAATTAGATCATAGTATACTTTTATGGTGTTAAAGGGAAATTACAATTTATCTTTTTTAAAAATGAATAAAGGCATTTATTTCAATGCCATTAAATCGTGATCTAAAAGTTAATATATCTGTCATATTGAGACACAGATGATGAAAATATCAACAGCGAGGGAGTCAATCGAAAGGGCACAAACCTTATTACCAAATTAAATTTTTTATTTTCAAACAAATTTAATAATCTAACCATCTCTATTTGATCTCCATGACTCATGAGGTGGTTAGTGTACAAGTAGCAAGCTACCACACTCTGTCCACTCCTTCTTCGCAGTTAATTCACATGTTGCGTTTCCTCCCGTAGGAGTCAGAGTTGACTGGGAAGGTTAGCTGATTAACATTTAAAATTCATTGGTCGTCTCTCCCTTCAATGAGAATAGCAATGAGCGAAAACAACCCAACAAAGATAGAAATTAATCGAAGAGGTCATCAGAATAGAGAAATAATAATGACCCCAGATCTTCTCATACCCGATAGAATAAGTCTCAAAGAGAAAGCTAGAAGCAAATCAAAGAACCAAAAAAAAAAAAAAAAGGTTTTCTCACATAAATTTGGATTTGGGATATATTTTGCTCCCAAAAAAAGAGAGCAAGTAGGCCAATCTAAAATTTGTTCAATTTATACTGATAATTGCTTTAATTTAAAAGAGATCAGACATGCGTATGCGTCATTCTTTTTAATCTAATCTCTCTTCATCAAAAGAAATGAGGGAGAAAAATCCATATTATGTATACGTAGAGAAAATATACTAATTTAAATCCTATATATACGGACACAATGTGTGTAACGTGGTGTGGTTCGTGTGGTACCCAAATTAAAAATTCACAACTGGGTGAATAAACAGGCCAATCACATCCAAAGAGTATCTGATACCCTACCATTATCGTCATTCATCACCTCACCCACATCTCCTAAAAAGCAAACCCCACAATTTATATAAATATATATATATAATATTAAAACCCCACAAAGAATCCTTCATCACTGAATATGACAACCCCCCACCTTCTCTCTCGCTCTGTACAGTCTGCGACAAATATTACTCTGCAAGTAACCTTCTATATCGCACCTTCAAGCAACACTGATCATGCTATTGCTGTCGCCGGCACCGCTCAGCTTTCCTGACATCACCTCGAAAGCCAACGACGGCTTCTCCTTGCTCGCCGGCAGAGTGTCGGCCACGTGACCTTCCTCCCTCAAGTTTAAATTTGCCATTTTCGGCGACGGAGCAACTGGCAGGATCGGCGTAGGCCTTATCAGCTTAGCTCCCATAGGTTTCATCGGCGGGGACAGCGTCATCTGAAAAGCAGAACCGCCAATGCCACCGTAATGGGGATATTTCGGCGGTACTGATTCTTGGTGGACTCTCCCTTCTTCTGCTGTCGCTGAGGATTCCATCACCTGGAACAAATCAATTACTTCTGATGAATGAAAATATATTGGTAACCAACAAGGCATAGAATGAAAACGAATAATTAAATACCGTATCGGTGGTGATATCAAACAGACTAGATCTCCGGCGTCTCCGGTTCTGGTTATGGCGACGGAGGAAGTACTTCTGAGCATGACTGGCTACCTGAGTTGGTGTACGAGTTTTCACGAAGTTTCTAGAAATCCCTCTCCAATCACCTTTCCCCACCTGTTGAAGCCCCACCAGGAATAGCCTATGCTCCTCTTCCGTCCATGGCACGCCTATACAGTATCACACAATCGGACCATCGAATACTCAATCCCCAGAACCAAACAAAGCTCACATATACTTACCTCATACTGCTAATATAAACACGCAATAAGATTACATTACGGACCTCTCTTTCGCTCGCGGCTACGACCGGAAGCGTGAACGACATCATCGGAGGCGTAACCGGCGTCGGCGTTGGAATCCTGAGGCAGCGACTGCTCGTACTGTTGTAGATCCGTCATGCTAGCGCTCTTCTTGAAACAGTTCCCTTGCGTGACTCGCACCCCGAACAGTAAGATACTATTCTCGCAGGCGCCGTTGCTGCCGTCGGAGCATGTTCGGGAGTTGTGGCCGGTGGTGCCACACTGTGAGCACGTGCGAGGCATCATCTTGTTCTCGAATCACAGAGAAGAACGGCGTGACTCGTACGTATGAGCGCAGACTTTGATTTATTCCGCTTTTGTTGTCTCAATCCATGAAAAGGAAAAAAAAAAGGTAAGAAACGGAGAGAGAGAAGAGCTCTCTAGGGTTTGTGTATCTTTCTGTTAGAAGCTGCCGTACGCGAGGACGAGGCTTAATAGGGTTTGAACCGAGGAAGTGAAGAAGAGGGGGAAATGATAGAGTGCTTCGCATGTGCAGTTGTTATTATATACTGACGGTCTCGATACTGTTTTGATGTGGTTTCATGAATCAGGACCGTTTGTTTTGCTCGGTACGCACGAGGCCAAATGTCAGACATAGACGGCCACCAGAGTCCGATGATAATTACAGTGAAAAGACACTAAGAAATGGAAACAAAGATAAATATACTATTATGGTCTCCCATTTATTCTGGGAAGATGCTCTTTGTCGTGATTGAAAATTAAGATATACTATCCCTTAGGCGGATTATTAATTTTCATTTTTTTATTATACTTTTTTAACATTATAAAAGGCGGGCAGCGCTTTGAAAGAATTTTTCTTATTATATTGTTTTTCTTTTCTTTTATTTTTTTCCCCCATCAAGACGAGTCGTGAATCATGCGCTCTGAATTTTGTTAATATATTGAAAATATTGTCTTTTTTCCATTGTACATTTTTCTAACACTAACAGAGACGTGTTTTTTTTTTTTAATTTAAAGACAGCTTTTTTGTGATTATGGTTATAATTATAATGCGAGCCATTATTATAGAAAAAAAGTAATAACTATATATTCTAATTATAAAAACTAGTTGACTAATTTAAAGAGATTAAGAAAATAAGTTAAGTTAGTTATTTGTAATAAATAGGTGTTGTCTTTCTGAAAATATCCTTGCTAATCAAATTTATTGGCTAGAACTATCATTATTAATTAGAAGGAGTATCTTGGAAAAAATACATAAATATAAGAAACAAAATGGAGTGGAGTATTATAATTAGGACCAAAATAAAAGTCAAACGAGATCTTATATTAAGGATTGGAGGTAGTATATATAAAGAGCTTTAATATACAACTAGCTAGAATGTATTTTTTACGTACCATTATTTTTCCATGTATCAATCCGTTATTCAAGTAATGATTTATTCAAATAAAAGACTGGGAAGAAGTTAAATTCTGGTAAAACGTGATTTATAACTTAATATTCTTCTAACATCTATTTACAGAAGTTAAATTCTGAAAATTGATGGTTGGTCCTCCAAAAACTCTGAACTCTAGTTTCTCATGAATCGGATGAAAGAAAAAGAGAGGGGAAGAGAGAGAACTCTGGAGCATACATAAAATAGAATAGGAGTAGTGTGAGGAGGTGATAATAGAAAGAATTAATTAATTAATTAATCAATCAATTAATTATCGAGTTCAAGTGATGGGGTGATTATGATTGTCCCCAAAATCTGTGGGCAGGGGACTCCCGATTAGGAAAGTTAATTAGTTTAAACCTTGAAGGACGCTGAAACCTGGCAAGTTAGATAATTGGACGGACAAAGTCTACCAAAAAAAACAAAAAAAGTCTGCACTAAGGTCACGATGATGATAATGGAAAATATATAAAATTATTCCCAAAACGAGTTAATTAATGGAATATAATAATGTGATTAAAAAAGAAGAGTGTATTTGAGCCGTGAAAAGGGGCATATTATTCGATGCACCTTCGTTAGAAACACTGGGTGGGTGTCACTGTATATGATTAATTAATTAACTAATTAATCTTAATGGGACAGTTGTTGTTTGTTTATTGATTAATAATATTTAATTATATAATAATTGTCCAAAGTTGTGGGTGTGGAACTGTTGATCAGCAAAATGAAAGGACCCCACTCATTACCATAGCACAAGCCACAAGGTGCTTCTTCCATATGGTGGATATTTGGATGCCACTTTCTTCTCCTTAATTTTCTTTTTAATTTTTGTGGCTCATATTAGAGTTTTGAATGCATGGTTGTCAAAACTCGGTAAGGTTAATTAATGGCGTTGAAAAATGAAAAGTGACGAGAGGCACAAGGATTAGAGGAAATACTATTATGCAAGGTCAAACAAATAGTTAAAAACGTGTCTAAATTGATTGGAATATGCAATTCTCATTTTTATCATAAGTCGTATATAATGATGATTTTCAATTTTTTTCTTGTTTAATCTTCATTCAAAAAAGAGAAAGAGAAGAAAAAATGAGAATAATTTGTAAATGTAAAAAGAGAATTTTTTAATGAGAATAAATTTAAAATTTTTTATCAAATCAATACATTTTTTGGTATGTGAGAATGGATTAGGAGTGGGTTATAACATAGACCGGAGTGGTATGTGAATAAGGATGACTTAACTAATTCATTTCATATTTTTCAATTTAAATATATATATTTAACTGAGAAAACTAGAATTGGTAATAAACATATCTATGCGATTAAAAATATCAACGCTCAAAAGTTCTGTATAAATATATTTTATTTTTTAATGATAAGCTTTTTAATTTGTATAATATTTTATGACACCATAAGAATATATATTTTTGTATGTTACAATTTCCCATATCAGAAAAATAGGAGAGGCAGTGCCGTTTGGATAGAGAGAAAAGTGAGAGAGAAATAAAAGGAGGGAATATTAGGAAGGAAAAATTCTCACAATAGCAACAACAAAAAAATTATTTTAAGGAATTTTTCCGCCTAATATTATATTTCTCCCCTAATTTTCTTCCCATCTTGGTCAAAATCGGAGGGCTGATCATTAAAAAAAAAAAATCAGGTTCTTTTTTCTTTTTTTTTAAGTAAAAACATGGGGACGCTGTGGTGTTCCGTTGGGCAATAGTTTTAATTTTATCTCGTTTCGTTAAAACAGTGTTCTGCGTTACCAAAAGCCTTTTTTTTTTACTTTTGGGTTTTGGGTATTAAAAGTAGAACCGGTAATATAATATAGGTCAATCCACCAGTTATGGGTTGGTCCATGGTAGGCTCAAGAACTGATAAGTCGGTTTTAAAAAGACTAATTTTTGGCGGGCTGATATTTTTTCAACCCAGCCCACTAGGATGGTTTGAGGGGTTAGGACCGCCAACCTGCCACTTTTTTTTAAAAAAAAATTTTGTGCTTTTATTTTCTTTTAATAAAATTTATTTTAATTCTTAAACATCTAAAATAAAATATGCATATATAAATTATCATAAATAAAATATGAAATCTAAAGTTCCAAACATTTCAAAATACTACTATAAGCATACATGATACATTATTCTAAATGATTAAACATATATCCCAAATTAAAACCTAACAAATCTAAATTAATAATAATACAAACACAATATTACAAATGCTCAACCATGAGCTACCATTCAATGTTGATATAATTCAAAGAATGATATGAAGATGTAAAATTATTTGGTTAAGCTTCATAAGTAGAATCACCTTCTTTTTGCTCAACTAACTTTGTCATAAGTAAAATTCATAATACAAAGTAAGAGATATACTACATTATGGTAATTTTAAATAATAAGAATGAGCTAAAAGACCAAAAAATAAACATAATTATATTTGAGGGAGGGAAATTTTTTTTAAATAATAAATAATAAATAAAACGGGCCTGCCCGCTAACCCTGCGGGTTAGTTTGTCGCGGATTTGGTCTTGGCGGTTACAGGCTTAAAAGATCCGTTTTAAAACGAGTCTGTTTTTATCAACCAAGCCCGTCACTTTTTAGTAGGTTGGTGGATTGAACCTGCGGGTTCAACCCATATTACTGGCTCTAATTAAAAGAGCATAAGCTAAACATTATCCATTGTAATTTTGTAATTATTGAGGTGGTTGGCGTTCCCTCGAAAAATTACTTTCGCTTAAGCGGAAAAAAAATGTTACTTCTACCAGGTAACTTTATGTGCTACCTCCTGTTCTTAGTATAATATTTTGTTTGATTTTTATTTTAGTCCTAAATATAAAATCTTAATTTATTTTATCTCTCGTATTTATATATTTTTTTAAGATAGTCTTTATAATAATAGTAGTTCTAATTAATACACTCGATTAATAATAATATTTTATGATAGACAACATTTATTTATTATAAATAACTGACTTAACTCATTTTCTTAATATAACTGAACTCATTTTTTTAATATGCTCAAATTAGTTAACTAGTTTTTATATTTAAAATTGGAGGTCGTACTCTATTTAATTGTTACAGCACAAAATCACCTAAAAATTAAGATAAAAGGTTAAACTTCTGGCAAAAAAAAAGGACGGCTAAACTAACATTCTAAAAAGAACGCGGCCCTTTAATTATTTTGCCCTGAAGTATATTAGTCTTACTTTTGGGCTTCCAATTTCATATGGCCCATGGAAATAATGTGGGCCTCTTGACATATTCTTCAACCCAAAATTAGGTTTGAATTCAAAGTTAGAGAATGAGTAGTCACTTAAAGGCCCATGGATGATTCTTCTTTTTTTTTTTGGAATTAAAGGGCTAGAATGAAACCTGTGTTACAATAAGGAGATCATCAGAGAGGCTCCGACATTGCGATCCTTGCTTTATCCGCCATCAGGTGCTGATAGCATCCTTGGCGAGTGTCCTACAAAAGAAGCATATCCTCCTCTTGATAATAAGCATCTCTAGCTAATAGATCAGCACACCGAAGGATTTCTTTTGGTGCATATTTAACTTCCACGTTCCATTCGAGTACAGCATCCTCCGTACGTCAAGGATCTCTGTCAACATGGGATGATTGTGTCCACCATCTAGCATGATTAATTGGATAGCTTCCAATGAGTCTGTGTAAAGCTGGATATTATCTAACATGTGTTGTTCACAAATCTGGAGACCTGTCAGAATTGCTAGTAACTCTGCTACAGTCAATGGTTGGCTTCCCAACCTCCTTTGAAAGCCCAAGACCCATTCTTCTCTGGCATCTCGAATCAAACGTCCACATGAAGCCTGACCACTACTGTTAATTGAACCATCTACATCTAGGCGAAGGTAATTAATTAGTGGTGGGTTCCAGCCATTCTCTAGGTTCTCATGCAATTTAAAGATTTGATGTTGAAGTTTTCCCTGATAAGTTGTCTCCATCAACTAAAACTTATAGGTGTGAATGATTTCATTTGGTTGAGCTCTAACACCCTCCATGACTCCACGACACCTATTTTTCCAAAGGTTCTAGCATATTATGCTAAAAACTTTGGCCATGGCCATTTTGTAGGGTTAGTACTGTAAAGGTTTCTGGTGAGATTCTCTTTCAACCAAACCTGCAAATGAGATTAAAAAAAAATTGAAATGATTGTTAGGAGTAATAAAGTGTATCCACACATGTCTAGCTATCTCATAGTCACAGAGAATATGTAGGATAGTTTCCTCTCTCTGGCACTCGAAAGGGCACTCTTCATTGTGTATAAGGCCTCTCTTAGCTCTGGGTGAATTTGTTGGGAGTCTCTCATGGATGACTTGCCAAAGAAAGAGCTTGACTTTCTCTGGAACAGGTAGCTTCCATATTTTGTTCCAAGGCATACCATTTTGTAAGCATTTTTAACATTAAAGTTCCCGTCTGACGAATTCTGCTGGCAAAAATTGTCCTCCTCCATGCCTGCAGAGGTTTGATTTGGGCAATTATGCAAGTAACCCGGTTCAGTAAGACTCGCTCCTATTCCTCCACATTCCAGGTCCCGTTTGTCATGACAAAGGAAGCTGACTTTGGCACAAGGGTTAATCAGATGGAAATTCTTATTTACCAGGTGAATTAAGGGTATACTTAGAGGCGTCCAAAGATTCAACCAAAAAAAAGTTGTAGCTCTGTTCTGGATTACCCTCCCTACCTTTGGAAGAGATCCAAGACTGAGACGATACTACGCCAGGTTGCTGATTGATTTTGCCTTTTACAAACATTGGGTACATACCATCTCCACAACCATATTTGCTTTTAAGGACTTGTACCCACAACATATTTGGCTTAGACATGATTCCTTAATACAGCTTCATAATGAAAGCAATGTTTTGGCATCTTAGATCTTTAATGCTTAGTCCTCCTGTCACTTTCTCTTGCTTGATCTAGTCCCATGCGATAAGGTGCAGTTTCCTTCCATCTTGTTTCTGATTCCAAAGGAAGTTCCTACTATGTTTTTCAATTTCCTTTAGGATTTCTTTGGGTAGTAGTACTGTCTGCATCTAGTGACACGGCAGGGTATAAACAACATACTTAATGAGAACATTTCTCCCCGCCGTCGTAAGAAACTTCACTTTCCAGTTTGCCAAACGTTTCTGGGTTTTCTGTATTATAGGCCAATGGGTGGTTTTAGTGGCTCTCTTATGCAGCAAAGTAACACCCAAGTACTTGCCTGAATTCGCCGTTATCCCGATTCCCAAACATTGGCCGAGGTCAAGGGCTCTATTGAAATTTACAACCCTAGAGAAGCAAGCTTTTGATTTTTCCAGATTGATCAGGTGTCTCGAGATAGCACAAAACGTCATCATAACCTCCCTCATAACTTCCACTTGTTCTACTGAAGCCTCTCCAAACAAAAGCAAATCATCAGCAAAGAAGAGATGCATGATAATTAGGCCGTTGTTACCCAGTTTGATGCCTTTCCACACTTTCCTTTCTACTTCTTTCTTTATCATATGCCCCAATCTCTTTATACACAGAATGAATAAGTAAGGGCTTAAAGGGTCACCTTGTCACGGATTCATCTTTTGCTGTGTCATTGATGTCTTTCTTCTTTTCTCTCTTTCCTTTTACAAATACTGAATGACTCGTCACTATATAGTATATACGCATCTATCACATTTAAAATATTCAAATATACATGAATGCATGGGCACTTAATCAAATAACATATAATCTCATATCCTTAATAACATATTAGTTAAGTTGGATAATTGTAACAAATATGATAACTAATTTAGAGATATTAAGAAAATTAGTTAAGTTGGATAATTGTATGTATTGACTTTTCTAAATTACCTTGTTTGATCATATTCATTATAATTATCCCTCAGTAGGAACTCTTGACCATCAATAGGAATATTTTTGGGTAAATATTATAAATTTAAGAGATAAAGTGAATTGAGTAGAACTAAATTCAATTATTAATTAGTTTTTGCATTAAGCATACAAGATATACTGTTTAACACCAAGCAAGTGTCGGGTAGAGCCACAAAATAAAAGCAAAACAGGGCAAGAGCAGGGGATTTTGGGAATTACATTCACACTGTCAAAGGATTTACAAATATGCGAGTCCAACCACTGCATTTCGTCTATAAATTATCTCTGTCCAAAAAAATAATCCACAGAATATTAAAAAAAAAACAACTTTTTCACAGAAAGGCCCCAGAAACCAAAATAAAAATCAATTCTAGGTACCCAAAAAGAAAAAAGTAACTTCTATGAGCAATTTCCTGGGGTGCAGGTCAATTCGTCAACTTCAGTTCAGAGTAAATTCGAAGACATAGAAACCTCAAACCGGTGTCGTGTGATCTCAAGGGAGTAGATAATAAATTACGTTTCTTCGGATCTCATTCTCTTGGCGAGCTTCTGATAAGCTAAATTTCAGAAGAACCCAGTTCATGATTTGATAATTATTATTACTGTACTTGAGAGGAATTTTCCCAGGGAAGGGTCCCAGTTTCAGGGTCAGCAAAATGAGAGAGAACAAAGTCCTTCAAACCGGTGTCCCAAACCTCGCAAAACCTTAGCCTCCAATTAGGTGGTTCTATAGCTTGAGTTCCTAGTCCAGGTGCTCTGTCCTTTGACCTTGTGTTCTTGTCCTCGCGCCAATCCACCACATAGGTCGCCACTCTTCTCAAAAACTTATCTTTGAATCTCTCCCACACTTGATACTTATAATGGTTTATCACTCCTTCTCCTTCCTTCACCTGCACCGACCACATTCCTTCCTTTAATTGAAAATGATGAACCACGTTCAACAGACTCGTATCCAGCATTTCTGGTTTAACAATGGATTTGTGTCTCTCTGCGTTCTTCATTCGACATGTGTATCCTGTAGTAACTCCTCGTTTAGGATGCGAGGTTAATCCAGAAGGACCGAAGTTATGGCATGCTGTTCTTATCTCTGCGAGTTTCGACGATGACGAGGAGAAATTGGAGACCAGTAATTTGAGTCCGTTCTGGTGGTGGCCTCTGTTTTTGAGGTAGAAGAACTCGTCCACGTCGAAGAAGCCGACCCAGTTACATTCTTGCTTTGATCTCAAGGCGCAGTGAGAAAAGCCAGCTTCTTGGGTCTTAATCCATGGCCATGTCGTTCTGCTCACGTTGTAGCCTTCGAGGTCGAGTTCTTCTATAATGTTTTCGATGTCGTCGTCGCTGTTATTGTCGTAGATGAACCATCGTTCTACCCCGAGCCATGAATGATAAATGATCCATTCTTTAAGAGCAGAGGCTTGGTTCCACACCATGGTACAGACACAGAGGTCGTGCTTCTTCTTCTTCTTCGTGATCGTCGTCTCCGCCACTCTGTTCTGAATTGTGGCTACCGATGGCATGAGTTTATGGATCGGACGTCTTTTATTTTGACCCGCACGGCTCACGGTGACCCGAAAGCCATGAGCTTTATTCGGGTTGTTCGCGATGCTCCGTGGTAATGAACACCGAACTACTTCTTGCGCGGCGGAGATTGCTTCCGTTTTGAGGATGAATTCGCCATTTTTCAACCCGAAGTGGCATCGAAATTGGGTCGGGTCGGATATCTGGTGGGGTCGGAGATTGAGTCCCTTAACGAACACAACGACGGTGTCTCCATCTAAGTACGCCTCGTACGCTAAATTATTCCAAGAATGATTCGTCTGGTTCGTCAGCAACTCCCAACTTCTATGCCGATCACCTCCCTCGCCGCCGCAGCGCCGCAAAAAGACGGCGGCGTAGGAGTAGTTCGTCGGAGGAATCGGGCACCTGACGATATACCGAAACTCGGCGTATTGGTCTGTGGAAATTACTGGTAGAGAAAGAACATCGAGAACAGGGTTAACAACTTCCTCGGAAAGATTCGCGAGCTTGTAGTAAACACACTCCAGTTCGTGGCTCCGGGGAATTTCGCGGCCGGTAACTATAAGAAGTAAGTGATCGGGGAAGAGTATGCGGTGTTGGAGTGTGAAGGGAAGGCGGAGAAAGGTTTGGTTGAAATTTAAAGAATCAAGAATTGAGTAACTCGCAGAGCTATAATAAAAAAGGGACAAGGAAGAAGGAGATAAATTGGGATGAAAGCCAAAGGAGAAGCGATCAAAGAAGATGAGAAAGAAGAAGAAGATGAAGAAGGAGAAGCATACAAAAAGTGATCTTGCAGAGAAAAAATAACAATTACTCCACAATGACTTTATCGTGCGCTTCCTCTTCCGGCGTATCTCCGGCGCCTCCATTTTTTTCTGGATTTTCTGTCAGAAGAAGAAGGTGATGAGGTTGGAGGGGGGGAAAAGGATTAAATAAAAGAGATCAAAAGGCGAACTGAAGAAGGAAATGGAGATTCTGTGGAATGTGTGGAAGCGAAAGGGATTATGGTTGAGCCGTCAACGGTGACAGAAGTGGGTCTGTACGTTTTTGCATAAATCTTCAACGATGGTCTCATTTCTTTTCCACTTCTTCTTTATTTTATATATTTACTGCAAACAGATTTAACCAAAAAAAAAAAAACAAAACAACAAAAATATCGTAATACTTAAATGCAGAAAAGGAAAGGAAGCTCTCAATAATGGAAAGATTTTGCATTGTGTGATAATGGATGATGCGATATACTATAGTCATGGAGTACTTCCTGGTTTTTCCTATTCAAGTATTAAGTGAAATGGTAAGGGTTGGCCCAAAAACAAAAAGAAACTGTAAGGCCCATAAATGAATATTTTAGAATTTTTTTAACCATAAATATCAAGTAATAAAAAAAATGTTTTGGAATCTTTAATGTTAAAAATTGGATTAAATAGTACTCGTATGTGTTGGGAAACGATGGAATATATCTATAATCTATAATTTTAGCCCAAACAAGAAATTTCACAATTCCTGTCGAATATCCCTGCTGTTGTATTCTGTTAAATAATATATAAATAAATAATCTTATATTACAATCTCTATTTTTTTGGGTCCAAATTAGTGAACCAATCTATTGTTTGATCATTGGTAAATTCTGTATCACTTCCAACGGTAATTGTGGATCTTACAGATCACTTCAGAAGAACTACTTTCTTTCTTTAAGAAAATGATGACAGACCAAAAAAATGTCAAGAATTTTGACCATAGTTAACTTTTTATTGGATGGTTTCCAGAATTTTTTTTTTTTTTTGCCTAAAGGATATGACATGAAACACGCAAATGTACAAATACGGCATGACTTGTCTATAATTATCTAAAAAAGTGCATGTTTTTTTGTGTAGTCTACACTCCATCTCTCAAATAATTTAGCTAAAATAATTGTACAGTACAATGCTACAAATGCTGTTTGGATTATAATAAAACTGATACGTATGCTTTAACAACTGCCATTATTAGCATGATTTATGTGATTAATAACTAGTGCAGGTGTTGTTCCATGTAATCCACACAATATGAATCGTATTATTTATAATTTATAAATGAATAATATAATTTTTTTCATAACACTCATTTATATCAATGGAAAGAGTTATTACAGCCTAAGCATAAAGTCTAGAATTGAAGTTATATATCAATACAGAAAATGTCTCTTTCAAGAAGAACTCAAATTTTGATTTGTCAAATTGTGAGATACTAATTTTTTTTTACCATAGCTATCCAAAATTCAAGGCCTTGAATTTTCAGTTAGACTTGTCAATACTTAAAATTGATTTAATACCACGGGCTGGGTCATTCGGATGCTATATTAATAATCTTTAATTAGAAATTTTATGTTATATATATAAATATACAGTAAACTTGGCAGACAAAAAATAATAATAATAAAATTAAGGTCATTAGATATTGTAAAGTGCGGCAAAACCGGATAAAAACAATGGCAAGTTTTTTTTTATAAATTATTGGGAGCAGCATTTGACGCAACCAAATCCAGATTCTTACTCCCCAATCATTCGCGTCTGACTCAATTGTGGGGCGGCTTCAATATGTTTGATTGGGTCAAACTTGGCTTCAAAACTTTCTATCCAATGGTTTTGTTCCTACCTCCTACCCTACCTTCGGATACATGTGTGCGCGCGTGTAATGGTTTGGGGGATTTGTATTGAGTGCTCATCAGAGATCTGGATCGTTCAAATTTAATTTAATTTTATTATTATTTTTTTAAAATAATTATTTTAATAGGTATAGAATAAAAAATAAAGACAATATCTTAATTATCATATTTTTTAAAAAATAATTTTTTTATTTTAAAATATTTATTTAAAAATATTAAATCTGGACTGTCCAGATCTAATCTGAACGGTCCAGATTGCTCATTACTTGATGAGCACTAAATGCGGATCCGTGGCTTGGGAGCCACCTTGCCATAGCCATCTATTATTTTGTTCTTGGCGCCACCGCGTAGGAATGATCCCAGAAGGTCAATGCTGATAATGGTATCGGGTCAAATACTTGGGGAGAGAAGGGTGAATGGGTGAAATTATTATTAATTATAAGAACTTTATTATTTCTTTCAAGGAATGTTTTGAGCTGTTTCTGGCCGGCAAGGCAGCAAGTAATATTGTGAACAATAAACTTCAAATTTTTTTTTTAATTACGTATGCATATACTGTTTTTTTTCCTTCTATTTTTTATATTTTTGTCTCTATTTATATATATCCTTTATTTTGATTTTTTTTTTTTTGGTTTGTTGAGCCTAAGTATCACTGCTGGTAGCAGCAGTGAATAATCCTAATATTAAACAAAATAAAAAATTTGGAAACATTTTTCAAGGCCACCAAAAAACAGTATATACCATACAACGTATAGGAAATAAAATTAAGTTGTTGAAAATATACCTCAAAAGGGTGACTCGTCTTCTTCTAAACCCATCATGAGTTCTCCATACGTCCTAACTAAAATACAGACAGCTTTATCAACAGATGAAGGCCATGATTTGCTATTAATATTGCAACTTACAGCCAATTCAATTGACATATATGTCCAGTAGGAACTCAACTTTTAAATAAGTAGTTGAAATTTGATTTTCAATAATTATACTTAAATTAAATTTAGTTGAAAGATTTTCCATTTGATAGGTACGATGTCCATTAATTGAGAAATATACTGAATTTCTGATGATTACGTTTTCTCCTCTGCTTCTCTGGGAATTGAGTTTTGAATTTGACATAACCTCAATTTCTCTCTCACAAGTTCTTTCACTTGCTCGCAAGTCAATGTCCAATTCTTTTGTTGTCTTTCCCTGTACCTTAAATAGAACACAATTAGTATATATCAAATCTTTTGATTTAAAAAAATAATACATTTTGTTGAATAGCAACAAAATTAATAAATATCACATCAAAAATTAACATTTACATTATTCTATGATTAGCATCTTCTTTCATTTCGTCATCAATACCTTTACAAAACTATGTATAACACACACACACACACACACACAGATACGAGGTATCATAATCACAATCCTTCTGTTAAGATCAGCCAATGTGAACTGATCAACCTCCCTGTTATATAAATAAAATAATTTATCCATTCTAAATGTTTTAAGTTAAATCTGGTTATTTAATTCATAGGTATAAAATTGTTATATCGTGTCTTCATGTGGGCAAAATCAACCTGTATGCCTCACTGGTGGTACATGCTAGTCATTATATAAATTAATATTATGTAATTGCTATAGCTAGCTATTCCTTGGTATACATTTTCTTTTCAAAATGGGTACGTATTATATATATATATATATATTTATATTGTTATAAAATATTGATACGTTTCGTTATTCAATTTCTCTCGTTGCTACGACTAATTAATTAAAAGCATGCTTATGAAACATAAACTGCTGAATGATCGTGACTTAGTTAATGAATGTGGAGCACATATAATTGGGAATTGAATAAACTAATTAACCAGTATTTGGAGTCTTTTATTTTTCAAACAGATAAGGAAATAAACAAAATTTCATCTCTAGATTGCCCCCTGTGGGTGTGTGTGGGGATCAATACGAAGCATTTAATGATTCAGAACGCACAATCGTGTTGTGCTTTTGCTCTGTTTTCAGTGAAACTTCTGCTCTCTACTTTATTGAATTGACGAACAAAAAATTTCGAGCCACATGATGTATTGCCCTGATCCTATTTATAATTATAAGTCACTTTTACCATATATTATTAAAATTAAAAAAATTAAACCTTATTAATTTTGTTTAAAAATAATATAATAATTTTTTAGTTTTTTATTTAATGTATATTATACTTTATGAAAGCAAATTCTGCATAATAATAAATAAATGACAAAATTGTGTGTTTATATAAAAAGTTTAATGATGTGATTTATAAATAGTTAAAAAAATGCCAGGAGTATATGTTAATTAATTTTTTGAGAAGGAATAAGGATATGTCAATTCGATGCACGATAAAAGGTAACACTGAAATTCTCAAATGTTACAACTTGATAATTATTGGTTTTCAGAAAAAGGCATAATTATCAGAAGTGAAAGAAATGACCCCACCTTCTGAATTCTGCATTTATCAAATCATTGCAGAAAATGATTAGACGATACCTTTTTTTTTTTCTTTTCTTTTTCGTTTTTTTTTCCTTTATGTTTTTTGCCAAGATAGATGAAATCAATTTCTATGCCTATAAAAATGGTGGGAAATTGCACGACTGTGGAAAATGCCGTGATTTTAAATGCACTGCTGATAATCTACATGCAAAAATTCACTCTAAAGTGTAGCGAAGTGTTACTAATTGCTGTTGGCCCCAAAAAAAAGAAAAAAGAAGTGTTACTAACTGTTGAAGAAGAATCCGTGAAAGTATTTTGTGTGCTTAGTCCTTCAATGCAGCGACTAAAATTGTGGCATATAGATTTGTACACTAAAATACTAAAGTTATGCTGCTACCTACCATGTTTGATATTACACTTATATTGCATAACATGATGCATTGTATAACTCAATAGTAACTAATGCTTGGTGACACGTGATATCATGTTTTATATATACACATAAGAATAAGCATTCTAACAAAAGTACACACAAAATATGCATTTTCTTAGAAAAAGACTTCTTTTAATATTTTCATAATGGTAGTGGCTGGTGATGGTGGTCGTAGTGACCGGTGACATAGTGGTTGGTGATAATAGTGGCCAATGGCGAAAGATTCTAATGATAATAGTGGTGATGACTAGTGATAACGGTGACTAACAATGGTGATAATGATCGTGACAACTGGTGACAATAGTGACTAATGAGTGATAATAGTTGTAATTAGAGATATTGATAATCGTATTAGTTACTACGAGTAATGCTAGTGGCAAGTGGCGGTCGCAGCGTTAATGGTAGTGATGGTGATGATCAATAGTGTTGTTATTTGACAAGCTGTAATAACAAAAACTACATAAAAGATGTGTTAAATTATAAGGACTTAAATAGAAACTTTTAAGCTATTAAGACTACATTAAAATTAAGTAAAAAACTATAGGACAAAAAGTAATTTTCCCGAAAAGTATACATTTTTGTTACAAAAATATACATGATATTTATTCATTAGAATTTGAAATACCAAATTTTCATCCCAGTTAGAAATTAATTTGTTTGTGGCAACTTTTTGTTATCAGATTCTACATGATATCAATTTTTAAAAATGTATCAATTATTAATTAATTAGGAGCAAACTGCTGAGAGTACAAGAATATATATTTCTTTTAACTTAATATATATATATATATATATATATGATAGCCATTTCTATTTAATATGTGAATTTTCTTTTGTGAGATGATGCTGGAACCTTCATAGTCAACTTGTCCTCTTGAGTCTAAATTGATATCACGAAAGGATGCTACTAAACGAAGAACACAAAAATGAGTGGAGCTTGTAAAACTTATCTCAAATCGAAAGTAGGAAAGCATTGGTATGCAATTTTGTTTGTTTGTTTGTTTGTGCTGGGACTCATTTTCTTCCTCCAAGATTAATGAAGATATTGACTTATAAATAGGATAGCACTTTTGACGATTTCAACTTTGCAAATTGGAATTGATTTGTGAGGAGAAAAGAAAATTATCATGCAGAATCTTTTTCATGTTTAAGATTACCCACTTGAGTGACGACAATGACTCTCCAAAGTGCTTCTATCAATTGATGGGCGTATATAAATAAAAGTTACACATTATCCTAATGAAGATTAGAGATACAAGTCATTTTCATTTACATACTAAATTAGATCATGCATCGTTTAAGCACAAAATTTTGGATCCAATTCTATGTAAATGTAGAAGACATCTTTAGAAAAACTACTTTCATTTGAAGACCGACGCTGAAGGCTCAATAGGATCAAATAGCAAATTCTATCATAAAAGAGTTAGTTGACTAATTTGAATAAATTAAAAAAATTAGTTAAATTAGTTATTTATAATAAATAGATATTGTCTTTTTTAAAACACGTCTATTAATTAAATATATTAATTAGAACTGCAATTTAACTAAATCTTTAATATGTACAACTACTATAAGGATTAGCTTAAAAAAAAATTAATGTGAAAAACAAGATGAATTAAAATATTATATTTAGGAATAAACTCAAAGTCAAAATAGCTTCTATGTTAAGAATTATCACCAGAGATAGTGTATTATATTTAAACAATTGCGCTACTTCAAGCCGTCAATGTAAGTTTCAATTTTCCTTTATTGTCCGCCTTTAATATTTATAATGTAACGTATGTTATAAATCAAATGAATACGAAACAGTGATACTCCTCAATCTACTTGGAGTCCTAGAACAAGATTCACCATTTTCTTTTCTGTTCCTCTAAAAAGGTACTCTGAGGGGAAAATTGTTACTTTTCTCTAATCGTAGCCATTTACTTTTAAGTATATTTTACTGAATATTCTTGATCGGTTCTTTGTGCTTATCTAATCAGTTATCAGCCGCATGGACACATTGATACCCATAGCCCATTCTCTGCCTTCCCTTTTGTGCCCCCAAAGGTAGTAATAACCATTGTTACCATTCATCATCAGGCATGCTCCTGGAGAGCACAGCCCTTTTTTTCCTGCCCTTAGAATGGCTAAGATAGAAATATCATACACTACAAGATGAAGTAAGCTCCTACGCTGATCACATGATTTAAGTAAATTACATATTTAAAAAAAGAAAAGAAAAAACTCCTCCGCCTTCATCATGTTTAAATCCATACGCTTGCCTCTGCCTCCATGTAAACATTGGCAAGAGAAAATAGCCTCCCTTTTCATTTATAATTTACCAAGGATTGCTTTGAATAAGCAAACTCCCGCATACTGGACCACCAAGCTAGCATATTCAGTTATTCACTTACACCCACAAATCAGAAACTTCCGGTGCTTGACGCAGTTCAATTGCCATGGAGTAAGGAGCTCCTCTTGGCTACACTGATGATCTGATAAAGCAGAAGAAATAAAAGATCATAAGTTCCATCTCAGACAACCAAAAACTACCTCTGGGCAAACACATAATTCACAGCACTAGATCTGTTTGATATGGACTGATGAAAGAAGGGCGCTGCCAATGGTCAAATATGATTGAGATGAGAAAAAACTAGTGTTCCAGACTTCCACACGAGTTTCGATTTCACAGTATGGTCGGGATTTTTTTTTAAAGAAGGTTTTTTGCTCTCTCTTTGGTAATTTAATCCTTTTTACTGCGTGGACTTTCTAACGTCTGAACAAGATCCTGCAAAAAAAAACCAACATAATTTGTGCACAGCTAGCTTAAATAGGGCAACGATAGAAAGTATGACTTTTCAAATACATTATTATCAATACCAAATTGTTGGGAGGATTATTCGCTACATTGCATTAATAATGATGTATCCAATTCAATAGCTGGCATCCCACAATTATATAATTGGGAAAATCAGGGACACAGAAAACAGCAAGAATAGTCTCAAGATAGTAAAACATGAACTATTAGAATCACAAATGTATTTACCTGATTTTCTGGTTCCTCAGTGCTGCACGAAAAGTTAGAGGTATGCTGTCCAGTCCACTGGCATTGTTGCTTTGTGTTCTCTCAGCATCTTGAGATATATTCTTTGGCAGATTGTGCCTATACTGCCCTAAAGGCCCTTTCAAATCGCCTTCAGTTTCAGCCATAGAGTTTACAAATAATCCACCCATACGATGCTGAAATCTTTTGCTATTAAAGGGCATTTCAGCACTATCTTTATTATCTGAGTTATGCATAGCATTGGGTGATGATATGCTTCCTAAAGAGAACCTTGACGTAGAATACCTCCCCTCCGTCTTTCTCCAGAATTTTGAACTCAAAAAATCAGAACCTGGTAGCTTGCAGCATGTGTCGTCTGCGGCATCAGTACTGGGAATCCTGCCGTTTGATACTGCCAAATCATATGATATTTCATCCAGGGCCATCTCTAGGCCATGCACACGAGTCTCCAGAGAATTCATTCCACTTTGAGAGCTTCCAATAAATCTCTATATTCGAATAAAGAAGTTAGCAATGCATACTTCCTTAAACGTTTTGTGTATTAGTATTATTAAAAAAGACTACAAGTGAAGCATTGAGAACCACCACAGGGTATAACAACAACATAGAATAGCTTAAAACTAAAGGAAAAGGTAGCTCTAGTTCCAACACATATGGTAGAGCAGTAGATATCATCCAAGCAAACACAAAGGAGAAAAATAAAAGGTTACTGTGCATCAATGGTTTTTTTTCCCCCTCTTCTTTTTTTGTCTAAAGATCAATGGCAACTGGCTTTACTTGCTAGGGGAGAAAGTAGGAGTAAAATTTTCAATTGTCAATCCACTCAATTCGTCAAAATCATTTTAGAGTGGCTTTTTAAAATCCAGCAGTCAGAAGAAAGGACCAACCTCAGCTACATAAAAGTAAGTCATTATGATCAAGAAGGCTAAGAAAATTAAGCCAAAAAAGGAAGAGGTTATTTAATGAAGGATATTGTACTCCGGTAACTTTTCTGGCAATTATGCCGATTGCAGATATTATGAAATTAATTGAAGATTGTTCCAAATCAGATGGTGAAGGCACGTCTAGGCTAAACCGGAGAACAAAAATGAAAGCATGATCATTATTTTATCCAATACTCAAATATGACAGGCTGTCGGAAAACTAAGTGCATGAAGAGTCTTTTTCAGAAGCACAATAGGAAAAGTGAAAACGCCAAATATACAAACCTACACAAATACTAAAGTATATTATCAGAGTTCAGAAAAGATTCTTCATTTTAGGTTGGCTTCAGTAAGGAAAAAGGTATAAACCTCAATGTACCTGAAGCATTTCTAACAGATTGGATTGCTGATTTTCAATTTGAAGAAGTTGTTCCCGAATCATAGAAAAATCTTCAACATCTTGAGGATTATCACAAACTTCATTTGTGTAATTGAGCTTAACATCTAGGTCAGGATTGTCATCATTATAGATCGGAACCACGCGAGACCCAGATTTTGGACCACCAAATTTATACAGTTTCTCATCAGACATCTTGCTGAAGACAACCCGCTTTATCTCTGCCCTTGATTTTTCTTGTTCTCCATTCTGAGCTGGTTTAGAAACTTCAAAATCACACCTTTTGATGTTATCTTCCTTGTCCATGCTCAAAGTTGATGACTTTGATCCTGGAGTTTCAGGTTTTGAATCAGAGCATTTCTCATGGTCCAGCTTGCGGGGTAAGCCCATGCTTAAGTTTTTGTCATTACCCCTTAGAGGGCTCATTCTTTTGATCGAGGACAACGCTGAAACTGTGGATGAAGGGGACCTGTTTGCTGGGACTGTTTTCTTTGACAGAGAAGATTTATAGCCAGCATGGGCTGAACTTGCAGTGTCACACTGATTATTATCATTATCTGGACCTACGAGAAAAGCCACGAACATAACAACACATTGGATTTCTTTGCTGGAAGTAGCCAAAGCTTCTATGGTTAAAATATACAGAGAAAGGAGAAAATAAATAAAAGAGACACTAATTTCCGATTCTGAACCGTCATCAGTACGTAACAATATTTCTCAATTCTTTCAAGTTTTTAAACCCCGTTATGCGAAGTTGGAATCAATGACATCCAGATAACATAAGATAACGTATCCTCTAACTCGTAGTTGCCATCTGTAGCATATGTATTCCCATCAGCAAAAAGGGTCCTATTGCCTAACCTATCTTCAAGCAACAATACTTGTGAATTACTCAAAAATAAATATGCCTATGAACTTATACAACATTAAAATAAGCCTTACCAACTGTAGAACACGCGGATTTCACTGGAGGCGACACATCCTCCGATGCATCAGTTACCTCCTTCCACGTCTCCAAGCTGCGATTCATAGCCTCCCGAACTACCTTGACCTATTACAACAGCATCACTCTTATCAACATAATTGTAGGACTCTCATTTCGACATTAAGCACGATCTTATCGGCTGTAGATGGGCAAAACCAAAGAGGGATCGCGAAAAAATAGAACTATATAAAAAAAAAAAAAATTACTCATCTCTTTATAGGACATTTTCCTCCCGAATTTTTTCCTCTGAAAGTGTTGGTCTTTTTCTTGGTGAAATGATGTACTCAAAGGTATCCCTTAATGAGAAAAAGAAGATCGATTACCTTATCAAACCTGCGATTTTGTAACGAATCCAAGCACAGCACTTTATACTGCGACGCCAAATCTTTCTCCGCTAAAGCTACCTTTCCCAAACCCTCCGCAGCTGCCTTCCTGACCGTCCAATCCTCATTGCTCAGAAACTCAACAAGACAGGGCACCAACCAATTCAACACACCCCGACTCGACGCGCCACCGACGCCCACAACACTCCCTATGAGCACCAACAACGCTGCCTTCGCCTTGCACACCTCGTTCTTGGCCAGCTTCCCCAACCTTGGCAAAGTGCTCTTTCGCAACGCCTCCACATCCAGCTCCGGCGCCGACTCAATTGCCGCTGCCAGGCACAGCGCAGCGCCGATCTGCGAGTTTACATCCTGCTCCTGCGTCAGAGCCTCCATTAACGGTTTCAAAAACGCCGCCGTGAATGGCGGTTTCGTGATCCGCGACGACATCGAAGTGACGGCTTCGACGCAGGCTGATCGGACAACGGAGTCGGGATCGCGGAGGCGCCTTAGGACGGTGGAGATCATCTTAGAGAGGTGAGGAGAGAGAGAATCACCGTGGAACTGGGAGAGAACCGTCAATAGGTGAACGCATTGCTTCCGGACGGGGGATTTACAAGAAGAGTCGGTGTTGTAAATGCAGTTGAGGAATAAAGAGAATGAGTCCTGGTTCAGAGTCCGAGCAATGCACTCGAGCTCAGCAACAGCAACGGCTAGAGTGTCGCGGTCGGAGAGCTTGTTGAGGCTGGCGATTACTCGTTGCTTGAGATCGTGAGTCGACCCGGGGCTGGAGGAAGCGAGTTGAGATGGACTCAGCGAGTGGCGCCTAGAGGGAAATGACATTGTGGATTTGTAGCCGTTGGGCGAGTCAGTGACTCGGCATTCGTGCACAGAATAAGCGGTGGTTGACAAAGAGAAACGGCCAGAACGTTGCGACGGTGCCGTTTTTCCGGCGAGAGGGATTTTCGCGGCAAAGTTTGGAGAAGATAGGACTTCGAGAGTTGTTAAATACCGAAGCAGCGAAGCCTCAGGTTTCAACCAAATGATTTTTATCCTTTTTTGGTTTTTTCTACTCGTATTTATTTCAGTACTATGCTTCTTCAAATGATTTGGGTAAAATTATGCCAAAAATACAAATCATAAATATCAATCTAAAATTATTGAAAAAGAACAAAAGAAACTCTTTTATTCTTTACATATGAGTTAGGACCACTCTAGATGGTGTAAGATCTTAAAAAATTAAATGAATCTAGTTGGTAATAACAAACACACAAATTGGCAAGAAGTTCGTGGAAATTATTCTCACTTACATAAATACTAGAATAAAATAAAAAATGTTTAGCAAGTTATATCATGAGCAGCGTGTTTCATTTTATAATTTTTGCCATGCACGCCCAAAGAAACGTAAATTTCTTTTCCACCTAAACTAATGGGTAAGAGTGTACGCATTGTGTTAATTTGATATCCGACAACATTTATTAAAAAATTTGTCATTAAAATATTTATTGAAAACTTGGTTAGAATATCAATTCAAAAAAATCAATAAAAATTTTTTTGGCTAAAAAAAAAAGTTTAGATAAGTTGGATCCAAAAGATTCACCAGGACCAAAATATGTCTCTAATATCAAAGAGCTCTTAAGGTGATACTTACATACCTCCCAATAAAATCTTGCAGTAAGATTCAAACTTATGACCTTATGCAATATAATCAATAAGCAATTTTGTTTTTCATTTTTTAGGAAAATGAAATTCAAGCTTTCAAAAGAATTGGGGGAAATCCAAACATTCCAAGCTGTACATGGATGATTCAAAAGAATAGATTGTGTTGAGTTCAGTTCACCTGGGATGTAATGTGACAGGGTGGGGTGGCTCACATGCAAGTTAGAATGGAGACGAAAGAGTCCAAGTCAAATAAATAAATGAGAGAATTTAATTAGGGAGGAGGGGCACATGAAGTTACTTACATGCTTAATCCACTGCCCTTGATAGGCAGATCCCCAGCACCACGACCTCACTACATTCGCCACGTAGATTTTCTGCTCGCTAATTTATAATTTATAATTCATAATTATGAATTATATAATTCAGCACTAACCATGTTGATAAGCCAAATGCTCCACATGATCACCCACATGTTCTGCACTTTCTTGCATGTGACTCTTGAAATATTAAGACAGACAGGGGTTGAATTATGCATAATAACATTTAAATGTCATATAATAATATTAATTCCCTTGTATCATTCGTTAATCAGTTTATTTTTCCCCCTAACACTAACAATATATTAAACCCCATCAATTAATATTGATCAAGGTCAAATCAAACAAGCAGATAACTATAATCTCTCTCATTGAAAATTTTTCTCGTTCAAAACTGTTAATTCATCAGCAAGAATTAATGCATAATTATTTCTTTTCACAGGAGTAATAATAATGATTTGAAACTTTAAATTATATACTAACTGAAGGGGAGTCATATATTGCACAGAGTTCTAAGAACAAATTATAATTTTTGAATGATTTGTAAGTATAATTATTCTTTTTAAGACTGTAAAAAAGGTGCCTAAAGGTGGAATATAGTGGTCACGTGACGTTTCAGAGTGCGTATGTACGTGATTGTTCCCAAAATTACTTGTTTCAGAAGCAATTAGTAAAATAAAACATTAGGATTTATTAATCAATGTGTATTGGAGTGAATTAGGAGCAAATCATGGGGCTCCATTCCATTTCATGATTATTAATTAGAGTTAGCTGGTCCTTTTCCTCACTTGAATATTGATTCCTGCTGCTTACGTCTGGAACAGCTGAACCATATCTCTGAGGACCCCCAGATTATATTGTCTTGCTCTTCGACTCCAGAAAAATGATTTGAAAAAAAACAAAAGACTAAAGAGAAGGTTGAAAAGGCTCTATCAGCCTACCTACCATATCACCATCCATCTTATATTAATGGAATTATTTTTTTTTTAATAAAATCTTCAATATTTTGTTTGGTCAAGTAAAATCTTCAACATGAATATTTATAATTTTTTTTTACAAAAATTAATCAAGTAGTGTTAAATTATAGTACTCATATATCTATCATATCTTTATTTTAAAAAATTGTAACTTAAAAATAAAAGATACCTAGTGAACTTCACTTCAATGCTTTTAATCACGATATTACAATTATTGTCGAACTTAAAAATAAAATCAAGTTATTTTTAAGGGAAATTGTAAAAAAAAAACTTTAAAATTGTAAAAACGTAAATAGAAACCCTTGACAACATCTATGTCTTTTTTTACAATTTTTTCTTATTTTTATTATTTATAACACTTGGAAGTAAATTTTATATTTAGGACATGAATTAGTACAATGAAATATCATTGATTGTACTAATGGTGCTGGGACAATTAATGCCCTTTGAAAGATACTCCCTCGTTTCCTTTTTATAAAACTCATTTTAAAAGCTTTTCATGTTACTTTATTATTAATATTATACTTTTTACAAACAGCAGTGAAACATACACGAGCCTTTCTCAAAAATGTCCTTTATCAAGTCAGAGTGTTGGAGTGGTAAAATCAAGTTTGAGATAGATATTTTTACCATATAAATGTGCAATTCTACTTCGAATTTTATTGTTCTTAATATAAGGAGTAATACAAAATGCAAAATAGTACTACTTTCAGCTTTTAATATTAGATCTAATTGACTAATTTGAAGAGATTAAGAAAGTTAGTAATACAAAATGCAAAATAGTATTACTTTCAGCTTCTAATATCAGGCCTAGTTAACTAATCTGAAAAGATTAAAAATTAATAAATTATTTGATTATAACATATGCTACATGATCTCTTTAAAATACTCATCAATTTATAAGTGTGAGAATTTTGTCAAGAGAAAAATGATAAATATAAATATTTTAAAGTAACTTAGTACTCCTCCGGTCATTAATATAGAACCCAATTCTTGAGTTACTTTTGGTCCTAAATATAAGACTTATTTCTCATATTTATCAATTTTCTCTAAATTACCCCTATGGATACTCCTTCAACCATATAATCAAGTAGAAGAGAAAGAGAAGGTATTAAGAAAGATGATTATGGTGTTTTAGGAAAAATGTGTCACTTTTCTTATAATTAACTAACTTACCTAACTTTTTTAATCTAATCAAATTAGTTAAATGAGTCTTATATTAAGGATTAGAAGAGTATTTTTTTACTCTCTTCAAAATTATTAACTAGATCTTATATGAAAAATTGAACACGGTGAATAATTTTGGATGAAACAAAAAGGGAAAAAGGGACACAGAATCAAAGGCTTTAGAGCTGATTTAGAGGGGAGCAAGGGTGAAAAAGAGAGAGGGGAGGGAGGGGAGGGGGGGAATTTTGGCGAGCATGAAAAAGGAGGTGGAGAGAGGATGTCCGTGATTTAAGAGGAGACGTAATAATGACGGGAAACACGAAGAGAGTGACGAGAGGGATGAGGAAACGAGTCTTTGCGTATGCGTCGGAAAGCTTGAGAAGCTCCATTGTCGTTTTGCTTATTTCTTTTTTCCCTTTCACCCTTAGTCACGCACCTTGATTATGACCCTGTGTGTGTCTTCACCGCTTGCTCAAGGATCTCTCCATGTGACTTCATTTTCATCTTCCATAACAAAGATTTTGACACCTCCTTGCCTTTAATTCCCTTCGTACCCATTCCTTTTTCACTTCATGTGACCCCAATTTCACACAGGATAAAGTTAAAGAAAAATTAATCCGTAAGTTCTTATAATTTTACATAATTTTTAATCAAATTCTTACATTTTCTTATTAAATCCTTATAGGCTGACTTGTTTATTATTAGTTCATGTAATTTTTTTTATCAAGTCTCATAGTTTTACTCATTTATAATTAGGTCCCATATAACATTAACTATTATAGATTAGTTTATAAATTAATTTTAAAATAATAATAAATATAAGAGATAAAATGAATTAAAATCTTATATATTTAGAACTAAATCCAATTTCAAACTAGCTAGTTTTTATGTTAAGAGCTAGAGATTGAATCCTTATATTATTATAACCACCTTGGGTTGTTAGAATTAGAATATTAAGTATGGATTTGCTCATCTGCACCTACATATACATATAAACTATTTCTAATCTTTAATATAAGAGTTAATTTGACTTTTAATTTGATCATAGATATAAGACTCCAATTCACTTTGTTTTCATATTTATGTATTTTTTTAAAGTAATTCTTATATTACCTCTGATCCTTAATATAAGACATTGTTTGACTTTTATTTTAGTCTTAAATATAAAACCCTAATCCACTTGTCTCTCATATTTATACATTTTTTTTCTAAGGTAGTCCTTCTAATAATGGTAGTTCTAGCCAATACATTTGATTAACAAGGATATTTTAAAAAAGACAATACTCATTTATTGCAAATAACTAGCTTAACTTATTATCTTAATCTCCTCAAGTTAATTAACTAGTTCTTATAACTAGGACCGGAGATAGTAGTAATTGCACCTGTTGAAGATTCCATCAAATAGTAGTTATATCTAATACATATGATTAGCAAAAGTATTTTAAGAGAGATAATACTTAATTATTATAAATAACTAACTTAGTAAACTTTCTTAATCTATTTAAATTGGTTAATTAGTCATTATATTGAATAGCAAATGTAGTATTAAAAAAAAAAAAAGAATAAACACGCTCACCTTTCTCCAGAGTGCTTCAAGATATGTGATCACAGGCTTTGAAAGAATGAAATATGACCTGCCATCAACTAGTCTCATTATTAATAAAATATTATAAAGTTGAGATCAGACATCATCAATTGGACTACCTAGCTACTTTAAACCTGCTTTTGTACCAATTAAGTTTGTTTAACTAGGGCCACTCCTCAAGAACCTGTTTTTAGTCTAACTACAAATTAAGTTATGCATCTCTTATTTTCTTCAAAAAAGACAAGTCATCCGTCATCCAATGAAGAAAAAAAGGCTATGCCACGTTGAAGATAGGCA